CCTCAGAACTAAACACCTGATAAGCCTAAAAAACCAAACCGAGGATTTCAGATCTGTGTTTACGGGAAAGCTCAAAGAATATCGGACCCAGTCATGTGATTGCCTTTATTATGGCTCCCACCATTAAAGGCTTGCCCAAAAATGTTGTTGTTCGTTTATCACCAATCTCTGTGCTAACTCTGTGGTACAATCCCAGTGATTTATTCACACTGCAGACTTCAAGTCATGTAAGTCCGCTCAGTCTTCATTGGAGGGCGGTGTTGTGGCCAGACCAGGACACACACCAGTGATCTGGCGAATGGCTGGGTCGGATAGCCCACCTGCTGATGACCGACCAATCAGTAAGTTGGGAGTCCCCATGGGGACAGACTCAGGTAACCAATGGGCACTGCTTGGTCATGCTCCTAGGGGGATAAATTGCGACTTTCCCTGTCTCCTCCTCAGCCTTTTTCAGCATACAGTCGTGCAGTCATACCTCGGGATGAATATGCTTCAAGTTAAGCATTTTCGGATTGTGCTCTGCAGTGACCCGGAAGTAATGGAGCACGTTACTTCCGGGTTTTGCTACTCGCGCATGCGCAGATGCTCAAAATGATGTCACGCGCATGCATGGAAGCGGCAAAACACGACCTGCGCACACGCAGACAAGCAGTCACGTGTTACGTTCACTTCAGGATGCGAACAGGAATGGATCCTGTTCGCATCCAGAGGTACCACTGTACGTTGGTTTTTGAACAGAATGTGTCCCAGAAGTCCCTTCGACTTCCGAAACGTTCAAAAACCAAGGCGTGGCTTTTGATTGGCTCCCGATTGCACAGAAACAATAGCAGAATCCGCATCAGACGTTCGGCTTCCAAAAGAACGTTCAAAAACTGGAACACTCACTTCCGGGTTTTGATCATTCGGGAGCCGAAACATACTAGTACCAAGGCGTTCGACAACCAAGGTACAACTGTATTATATTTTTCCTTGTTTGTTTTATATATACATATATATAAGGGATGCGGGTGGCGCTGTGGTCTAAACCACTGAGCCTAGGGCTTGCCGATCAGAAGGTCGGCAGTTCGAATCTCCGCGACGGGGTGAGCTCCCATTGCTCAGTCCCAGCTCCTGCCAACCTAGCAGTTCAAAAGCACATCAAGTGCAAGTACATAAATAGGTACCATTCCAGCAGGAAGGTAAATGGCATTTCCGTGCGCTGCTCTGGTTCACCAGAAGCGGCTTAGTCATGCTGGCCACATGACCCGGAAGCTGTACGCCGGCTCCCTCGGCCGATAAAGCGAGCTGAGCGCCACAACCCCAGAGCTGGTCACGACTGGACCTAACGGCCAGGGGTCCCTTTACTTTTACCTTTACATGTATGTGTGTGTGTGTGTGTGTGTGTATATATGTGTAGGGAACATACGGCATCTGCGGCAAAGCATTGTGATCCAGATCCAGTGAAAGTTTGTCGCCTGTAAGACCACTGAAATCAATGGAATTTAAACTGGTCACACCCACAACTTCCTTGCCACATTGATTTCTTTTTTTTTTTTTAATGATATTTATTAGAGTTTCCATACTAAAAATTAAAAGTAGAAAAGAAAAATACACAGTTCAGAAATACACAATACATAATCCAAAAAGAAAAAAAAGAAAAGAAACAAAAAGCAAAAGACAAAAAAGAAAACATTTAAAAGCAATACCACCTTTTCATCTCCATTTTTAAAATTTACTTATTTTCTGGACCTCCTCATACCTCCCTCTTTTGTATTCCAGTTCAATTTGTATATCCAGCAATTTCTTTCCCTCTTTTTTAATCCCAATCCTTAATCTTAATATAACATAACATTAAATTTTTACCTCTTAAAAGCCAAATTTCCATTTCCTTTATCTTTTTAATCCTAATCCTTAATCTTGATCTATATATAACTTTAAAACCTGTATAGCTAGAAGCCACTTATTTTCAATCCAGCATCACTCTAACATTCTTTAATTTTGCAATAATCTTTGAATTTCTTCCAATCTTCCTCCACCGACTCTTCTCCCTGGTCACGGATTCTACCAGTCATTTCCGCCAGTTCCATATAGTCCATCAGTTTCATCTGCCATTCCTCCAGTGTGGGTAGTTCTTGTGTCTTCCAATACTTTGCGATGAGTATTCTTGCTGCTGTTGTTGCGTACATAAAGTCTTGCCACATTGATTTCAATGGGATTTAAATGCCATGATCTGTCGATGGGGCTCACTGTGATAAACTCTCATTGATTCTGTCCCTCTTGCATCCAGCCAGGATGCCGTACATTTGCATTGACTGAAGAACAGATCTATCAGGAATATACTAATATGCTTCTCCATAAACACAGGGATATGAAAACACGACACAATTATCTCCTAAGAATACGTGGCATTCTTGCTGGAATGGTCTTAGGGCATTATGCAACAATGCCTCTAATGCTGTAGGAGTGTGTGGAAGAATAAATCTTTTCAATGTGTGCAATTGCAAAGAAACACAAAAAAACGGGACGCTAACGAAAATTCAATAAAATTAATCATATTATAAAAAAAAAAATATTTAGGTGTTCTGCTCATCGGAGGGAGAGAGTGTTGAGACAGATTCATTTAACTGCAAAAGGCTATTCCATTACGAAACAACTCAAATGGCCTTCTTGCAAAGCATGAATGAACTCCAAATCAAAGAGCATCTGTTGAACTACGGGAGATTAGTTGCATAGTAATGGGGATGGAGCTGGCGGGCTGTCAGTCCATTTTGCCATGCACGTTCAGTATCCAGTTGTCTGCTTGCAAACAAAAAGGCCCGGTGGAATCAATGGGACTTTCAGTGTATTTAATTTCTTTTGAATGGCATCCAATATTTTTATTTAATCACTTTGGAAGCTCTTTTTTCCCCATACACGTCCCCGTTATCTTATAAAACTCTGTCATTTCCCTCCCGCCCTGCAGATGGAATGTAGAACAGATCACGGCTTTGTTCAGGTGTCCTGAATTTCCTATCACATGATAGGAGACGGCCAGTGGCGGATTTATGTATAAGCTAAACAAGCTATAGCTTAGGGCCCCACTCTCTTGGGAGCCCCAAATAAATTTGAAGGGGGGGGGAACTGGATGTACATTTCCAAAATATAATATAAAAAACAAATAAAATAAAACCTACATACAGCAGCAGTGTTTTGTGTTGTGTAGGCTCCTGTGATGTAAGTCATGGGCCCCACCTGCTAGCCTGCTCCCTAAAATATCACTGGTTTGCTCATTTCTATATATAGGGTGCCTACATTCTGCATGATTGCATGGCAACATGTAGCATGTGGCTGCAGACTGCAGTAGAAGCACAGTTGAACATAGGTCAAGCTGTTGTACCTGTTATCTAATATTTAAGAGTGCTTGTAGACTGATGATCAGGCAACATAGACTAAGGGTATGAGTCTTATGCCTATTGATTGAGTTTATTTAATACATTATTTATTTATTTATTTATTTATTTATTTATTTATTTTGATCCCATTATAAAATTACTTTAGAAAATATTCATCTTTATTATTTAGTAAAGGTAAAGGGACCCCTGACCATTAGGTCCAGTCGTGACCAACTCTGGGGTTGCGGCGCTCATCTCGCTTTATTGGCCGAGGGAGCCGGCGTACAGCTTCCGGGTCATGTGGCCAAGATGACTAAGCCGCTTCTGGAGAACCAGAGCAGTGCATGAAAACGCTGTTTACCTTCCCGCTGGAGCAGTACCTATTTATCTACTTGCACTTTGACGTGCTTTCGAACTGCTAGGTTGGCAGGAGCAGGGACCGAGCAACAGGAGCTCACCCCGTCGCGAGGATTCGAACCGCGAACCTGCTGATCGGCAAGTCCTAGCCTCTGTGGTTTAACCCACAGCGCCACCCGCATCCCTTCAAGCTGTTGTACCTGTTATCTAATATTAAAGAGTGCTTGTAGACTGATGATCAGGCAGCATAGACTAAGGGTATGAGTCTTATGCCTGCTGATTGATTTCATGTAATACATAATTTATTTATTTTGATCCCATTATAAAATTACTTTAGAAAAATATTCATCCGTATTATTTAGTAGGCCTATATTATTATTTACTAGTAAGGTAAAGGTAAAGGTACCCCTGCCCGTACGGGCCAGTCTTGCCAGACTCTAGGGTTGTGCGCTCATCTCACTCTATAGGCCGGGAGCCAGCGCTGTCCGCAGACACTTCCAGGTCACGTGGCCAGCGTGACAAGCTGCATCTGGCGAGCCAGCGCAGCACATGGAACACTGTTTACCTTCCCGCTGGTAATCGGTCCCTATTTATCTACTTGCACTTAAGGGTGCTTTCGAACTGCTAGGTTGGCAGGCGCTGGGACCGAATGACGGGAGCGCACCCCGCCGCGGGGATTCGAACCGCCAACCATACGATCGGCAAGTCCTAGGCGCTGAGGTTTTACCCACAGCGCCACCCACGTCCCTCATTATTTACTAGTACAGTTCCCTATTACCCCCCACTTGCTACTATAATACTATATATAAATATTATAATTATATCAAATATTTTACTTACTTACTTATACAGTGGTACCTCGGGTTAAGTACTTAATTCGTTCCGGAGGTCCGTTCTTAACCTGAAGCTGTTCTTAACCTGAAGCACCACTTTAGCTAATGGGGTCTCCTGCTGCCCCCACGCCGCCGGAGCACGATTTCTGTTCTCATCCTGAAGCAAAGTTCTTAACCTGAGGTACTATTTCTGGGTTAGCAGAGTCTGTAACCTGAAGTGTATGTAGCCTGAAGCGTATGTAACCCGAGGTACCACTTTAAAGTGCCCCATTACCTTCAGTAGCTTAGGGCGACATTAAACCTAAATCCGGCCCTGGGGGCAGCACTTTGCCAGTCTTACCCCCTCTGTGGAGCCTGTTCACTGCTGCAGATGGCCAGCCCTGACGTGTGGAGAGCAATGTCAATTTGGTGGGCACCACTGGGGTCATCTAGCCTGACTCCCTGCAATGCAGGAATTTTTTGCCTAACGTGGGACTCGAACCCACAACCCTGTAATTAAGAGTCTCACGTTCTACCGACTTAGCTACCTTAGCATGATGCAGGATGAATCAGTGTAGTAACCCATCGGCTCAATCCGCCGGAGCCTGTCTTTGCACGCAGGGAAAGTCCCTAAATCACTGAGGGTTTGAGACCCATTTTCTACCCTCACCTGGATTAGCTAGGGCTGCCATACATCTGGATTTTCCCAGACACGTTTGGGAATCGGGCAGCAGAATGACATCTGAGCGGATTTTCGCTAAATCGGCAAAATGTCCGGCAAAACCTGGGCATATGGCAAGGGGGGTAATTAAAACAAAACAAAACAACTTTGACCTAGGGAACCAGGCAGAGGGCTTTCTCGGTAGTGGCGCCTTCCCAGCAGATGTCAAGGAAATAAGCAACTATCTGACTTGTAGAAGACATCTGAAGGCAGCCCTGTTTAATGAAGCTTTTAATGTTTGATGTTTTATCGTACTTTTAATATTCTGTTGGGAGCTGCCCAGAATGGCTGGGGAAGCCCAGCCAGATGGGCGGAGTATAAATCATAAATAATAATAATAATAATAATAATAATAATAATAATAATAATTAGTGCTTTTTTCCCTCAAAAAAAAAATTTAGGTGTACTCTTATTCCGTCTGAGACTCAGGAAACACCATGAAAGGAAATGCAGCCGCCATTTGGGGTAGCAATGGAACTGACGATTCACTGTGCTAGAGAAGAAACAAATTTCTGTAATTTTTTTAGTTTCTTCTCCCGTTAGATTCACGAAATGTTTAGGTGTATGCGTACCCCTGCGTTCCCCCAGAAAAAAGCACTGATGATGATGATGATGATTAAAACCAAAAACAATTTTTCACTTTTGGGAATATGGCAACCCTAGATTAGCCAGCTTTTGCTTCTCCCGTTCTCTCTGAGAAGATGAGAGAGAGAGATGACATGTTTCTTTGTCCTGATTTATGATTAATAAATCTGTAGTTGTAGTATGCTTCCACAAGCCTCACTCCTATTCTGTGTGCCCAGTTCGCTCTGCTGATAGTGTGCCCTGGCTTTGAAGCCTGGGTCGCTGATTTATGCTGGGCAGAGGCCGATGGTCTTCGCAGCAGGACGACTGGAAGGGGAGGCTCAGCAACTTCACAACAGAAGTTCCCAGCAAGCGGTGCTGGAATGTAAACAGACATGTGACACGTAACAGTTCCACATGTCTGCTCCTGAAGGTGGAATGGAAATCTCAACATAAACAGGGGAGTGATGCAATGTTCTGAATTGGTTGGAAGGAGCAAAGTGCCTGGACTCACTCCTCTACTGCTGGGCTCAAATAATAATAATAATAATAATAATAATAATAATAATAATAATTTTTTATTTATACACCGCCCATCGGGCCGGGTTTCCCCAGCCACTCTGGGCGGCTTCCAACAAAACACTAAAATACAATAACCTATTAAACATTAAAAGCTTCCCTAAACAGGGCTGGCTTCAGATGTCTTCTAAAAGTTTGGTAGTTATTTTTCTCTTTGACATCTGGTAGGAGGGTGTTCCACAGGGCAGGTGCCACTACTGAGAAGGCCCTCTGCCTGGTTCCCTGTAACTTGGCTTCTCGCAGTGAGGGAACCGCCAGAAGGCGCTGGACCTCAGTGTCTGGGCAGAACGATGGAGGTGGAGATGCTCCTTCAGGTATACTGGACCAAAGCCGTTTAGAGGTGACCAGCCATGATAGGAGCTCCAAGCTTAACCAGGCATACCGGTGACGTCTCATTGAATTACTCACAGTGCCCGTGATGGAGCGCTGCTTTGGAAATTTAAATGGCAGCCAGACCCATCCACTCAGGACTTTCTGAAGTGCCAGGCCCTGCTGAGGCTCTCAGACATTGACAGCTGCCCAGGATTAACAGTTGCTGACGCCGCTCCTGAGCGAAATAAAAATAAAACTTGGGTCATTTTGCTGCCTAAATACTCTGGACTTTTAAAAGTAAGGACAGTCGGTACTATTTTTCTAGAAAAAGAGGTGCCGGATCTCACCATGAACACTTCCCTTGTTCTCTTAGAATGGCAATGGCGCCCACCTGAGAGGTGCCAGAACTGAGGTCCGGCGAGCTCCCGCTGGGAAAAAAAGCCCTAAAGTTAGTTTTATTCCCCTTCCTCAGACATACCTTTCCAAGTAGCAAAAGATTCAGGGGATCCTATCCCAGACTGGCATATTTCACTTGTGATTCAAGGTGTACTTGCTTAAAAATAATATCAGCAGGATAAATTTAGAACTAGTAGTTAAAATGTGTGCTAAGCAATATTAAGGGATTTGTTTATAATTGGAATTAGAAAGGAGAGGCAGTATGAAAATTATAACACAAGGAACCACAAAATGGGGGGGGGGGTGTCAAAGGAGGTACAGTGGTACCTTGGTTTATGAACTTCATCCGTTCCGGAAGTCCATTCTTAAGCCAAAGCATTCTTAAACCAAGGCTTTCCCATAGCAGCGAGGGACTCAATTTACAAATGGAACACACTCAACAGGAAGCGAAACATGTTCTTTAATCCAAAGCAAAGTTCACAAACCAAAACACCTACTTCCGAGTTTGCAGCGTTCTTAATCCAAGTTGATCATAAACTAAGCTGTTCTTAAACCCAGGTACCACTGTATTTGGTTTTTGTTTGTTTGTTTTTTTATTGGATTTGTGTGTGTGTGTGTGTGTGCGTGTGTGTATACCTACATACACACACACACACAGAGTGCTTTTTTCTGGGGGCATGCAGGGGGACTCATACCCCTAAACATTTTGTCAATCTTTGTACTTTTGTCCATTTACTGTCTTTATTTTCCTCAATTTGAACTACAAAACAGTGGTTTTCTTGAGTCAAAATGAGAGTACCCACCATATACACATATAGTGTGTGTGTGTGTGTGTGTGTGTGTGTGTGTGTGTACGCACGCATACACATATATCAACCTCTGGCTTTCGTTGCCAAAGTTAGTATTTGCAGATATCCCCCCCGCCCCGCCAACACTAAGTAATCACCACTAGCCCTGCATGTCTGGGATGAGTGGGAAGACAGAGTCTCCAAGTGTCCCAATTTTCCAGGGATAGTCCCAGATTTACAGCAGCCGTCCCAGTTTCTGATTTTATTCCGGAACGTCCTGCTTTTCCTTAGAACATCCCTATTTTCATCGGAGAAAAGTTGGAAAGTATGGAGCTATGCAACCCTCAAGCCAAGGAGATAAGTAACTTTACACCCGTTAGAAGAAATCTGAAGGCAGCTCTGTATAGGGAAGTTTTTTAATGGTTAATGTTTTATTATGTTATTATATATGTTGGAAGCTGCCCAGAGTGGCTGGGGCAACTCAGTCAGATGGCGGTGTATAAATAGCAAAACAACAACAACCACCACCGATGTCATTATTTTCATAGGAAAAATGTTGTTGGGTATGCACTTCAGAAAGTGAAGACAATCAAATTTTTCCCTCCCATCCCTAAAGAGGCAGAGTTAGACATGAATTTTTATGTTGTTCTTGTTTTTAAACTAAAGTTCAGGAAATGCTTCTTTTCAAACTAGGCCTAAGGCCTTTTGAGCATGCTGAGGCTATTGGCAATTTTCATTAGGGGACATTATTATTCATTGGGGAGCATCATCATCCTTATTGAATAGGACATTCCTATTTACATCAGAGAAATGTTGGAGGGTATGGGAAGGCCAGAAATGTTGGAGGGCAGGGGAAGCAAATACTCGAGTGTACAAAATGTGAATAACATGTGAAGCCTTTGAGGGGCAAAAGAGAAACTGCAGGTCAACTGCGTGTTAAATCTCCTTCAGTGCTGCCCTGTCAAGGCGAAATAAGTCCTGAGCGGTCACTGAATCACTTCTCTCACGCTGCGTTTCACTTCTCTCTCTCTCTCTCCCGTGCCTCATTGTGGAACCGGACAATGAGCTGTGAAAAAGTGTTCCCATTTGCAGACAGATGCCTTTTGGGTTACGTCAAGGCTGTCGGGTTATGCCAGTAGCATCTGCTATAGCATAAGTGGCCTGTCTGGATGAAACGCAAGCTTGAAATTTCACAGGGTGCTCTCGATAAAATGGCACCGTTGACGTTTCCTTTCAACACAAACTGCAGCGGAGGGTGACTAAAGTGCAGCCAACAGGCCACATGCAGCTCTCCAGTGATATTGATACAGCCCAGCGCAGATCTCTGTCAAAACCTGTCACATGCGCAGGCCCGGCCAGGCCAAAGGATGACAGTCAAATGTGCCGTCACCTGCTTCCTGTCGCCGCAACCTCACAGGCTGAGGAAAGCAGCATCAAGCAGGAGCTTTTCTCACAGCGTTGGAAAAGAACAGAAAAGCTGGGGCAAGGAGAAAGCCACAAGGCTAAAGCAACACAGCGATGGAAGCTGTCTTGCAGCACAGGATTCCAGAGTAAACAAGCCCCATCTGTTTGATGGTATCCCCTGCCCAAACACAATAGCCTCTTTATTACATGTATCAAAAAACATAGCAAGGGTCACCGATTCTCCAAACTGCTATGTAAATCATCCTCGTTGCACGGCTCAGGAAGAAATGGCTTGCCCGAGACTGCCGATGAAAGTCCGACCGGCGCGTTCAGAAAGAAATATTTTGTTTCTACCTGGAGGTATTTGGAAATGAAGACAAAGCAGCCAAGTGAAGCATCTGAAAGCCATTGGGACCTCTGATTCATCTCGAGTTAGTTCTCCTCCTCCAGGGATTAAAAGGAAATCAATCCATAACCAACAGCTATAAATATGGTGCTTTTATACATTATTATTTGTCTTTAGCTTCAACAGCTCTTTCGATCCCCGTGGTCATTCTCTTTCTCAGATGGGCCATATATTTTAAATCAGATGTTGCTGACAATAAAATTCATTTGAAACATCTGGCTTCTAACAAATAAGAGTGTTACTGGAGGCAGAATGACTTCACCTTGCCGCTGCCTTTGTACGAGTCCTTTCTGTAGTGAATCACAGCAAACCCATTGCGGGGAAATGCTCACGTCATATGAGAAACATACTTCCTGTGAGCATTTCTTTTCTCTTTTGCCTATT